TCGTGTAGAAATATATTCAAAGAATTAGATATCTTACCGTTGGCATCACAATATATATTTTCTTTATCATTGTTTGTATTACAAAACAAAACTCTTTTTCCATCAAACATTGACTCTCATACTATTGATACTAGACAGAGACATTTTTTAATTACTCACTCGTTTTATACTGTGGACGAGTACCTAATTGGATAACTATTACAATAAAAAATACAAGTTACATTGTTTTGTATTTAGTATGCTCCTTGTCTAGATGTAATTCTTTAATGTATGTATTTTATGCTTTTATACTTGAGTTTGTGACGTGTTCTATATCCACTATTGGATTTCTGGAACTAGTAAATAAATAAATAAACCAAGAATGCTTTATGGACTCATCCATGTCTCTCACATGTTTGAGCAACAGTGTGAACTGAGGTTATTGTTGAGGCACATAATTGCAAAAGTGAACTAAGGCCTATACTGTCAAGTGACTACATTTCAACAGTGACCTCAGATACAATTGTTGTATTTGATCTCATTGTTGTATTTTTTTATTCCTTTAGTTACTTTGCTCATGTCATAGCCTGTGATGTGACGCGAAGAACACCTTTAGAATTTCAGTGTTCTTCAAAGAGTACACCTTTCCAATCTTATTAATTGCTGTTATGATTTCAGTAATTTTTAACAGGATAAGACCTTTGCCAAGCTATTAAATAATTTTCTTACAGGCTTTTCAAAATAAGTGGGAATTCTTTACACTTAATGCTGTACAACTATTTTGTTTTTTCCATGCCTGGTCTTTAAACAAAGGAATGTAGACCTACATATGACTTTCAGGTAGTGTCATCAGATTGATTTCTTCTTGCATTTAGTATCTAATTTAAGTTTTGATGATTAGGGTGTATTTTTTTACATAAGTCATTACTCCAAAATTAAAATGTTATTATTTAATTTACATACATTTATCATGAACATGAAAATACAGACCGGTCATATATAAAAACAAAGAGTAATATTAATGTTTCACCTTCATAAATGTACATCTATTTTATGGATCATATTTACTCACTTGTAACTTGCATTTCTTTTATTTGATAATTAATGAACATGTAAACTCACGAAGAAAATACTTAAGGAGAGGAATATTTTATGTTACTGAGCATTTTAGAATAAACATGGAAAATTTGTGCAGAAACTGAAAATGCATTGAAAAATGTTAATTATGTGAGAGAGTTAAAATTAGGGGTGGACATGGTGCATTCCAATAAGCATCTGGTTCTTGAGAAAAAATTCATTGAACTGCAAATATATTTCTCCATATTTATCCACTTACCTGAAGGAATTTCAGTATGAGTCTATATTTTCTTACCCACAGAAGCTTTCAAATTCTTTTATACACACTTCATTTTGAAATGTTTTACACCACTGATATCTTGATGAAGTATTTTGCCATTCCTTCCTACTAAATACAGTTTTTTGGCCCCATATTACATGTTTAATTTCTTTATATTTTTTGTACTTGAGAGAATGTTCTTTATTTATCCTTTAGTAATTATTCCTTATGTGTGGTTTATAATTCTTTTACTCAATAAAAAATTATACTGAATTATTTGTGATTATAGTTGATTTTCAGAGTTTGGACTCGGTGAGCCAAGCGAAGTCCTGTGGCATGCGATCAGCTGATGGGTTGATCATCACATTGATGATAGTAGGTGCATCTTTCACCTGAAACAACATTCATAATCAGTGCTTTCACATACTGGCATTATCAATTTCTGTGAGTAACATTCTGTATTACATCTGACTGACATTTGTAGGTTCTTTATGTTAAATAAATACCAAAACAGGAATATTCAGCTTACCTGCAGACTTTGCTCAAGTGCATCTTGCAGTTGAGGAATGTCTATACAAAAGTGCCCCTTGATGTTGAACATGTCCATCATGCGCTCATAGTGGACATTTGTTGACAGTGATGTTGGTGGTGTCCTGTTAGCAGTTCGTCATATTAAAATTTCAAACAGTAACAGTTCATGACAAACATAACAGATGAAGATGTGAAACATGCATTCAGAGGAATTTGGTCATAAAATTCATTAAAAATTACAACTTCTTATCTGTTTCACTGGTGGCTTTTGCAGGGGCTAAACATGATAGGGTCTCAAAACCATTTGCTCTGAGTTGCTGCACCCAGAAATTCAGATCCTGTTGACCCAATCAGTGTTGTCTTGAAACCATTTGCTTGGTTTTGAGATGAGTTTGTCCACTGTTGGTCAGTGGCCATATGGGTAGGGGCATCGATTGTGCATGTAAACAACACACAGTCGTCACATCATTCACTGACGATGGAGACAGAGGAGGTCTCTGAAACACTTGCTCCAAACTGATTCGGCTGCTCACTTCTTATCTGTTCTTTGCATGACGTACATAAAGTGAATGTTTCATATGGAAGATGTGTCTGATCATCATCTCAAATTACCTTTAAATGATTTTTGTCCTTAAGTTTTTACTGCTATAATTTGGTGTATAATTTCATTTTTACACACACACACACACACACACATATATATCCACCATATAGAAGATTGGATTTCCAAAACTGTTCTGAATTGCATGTGACTGAAAGGAAGGGAACATACAGACTTACACTTTAGTTACTTCTCCTTCCTCTCGGATGCTTTGGAATGTTTCTTCATCACAGCCACCGTAGATTCCATTGTTGTTGACAATAATGATTATTATAGGCAGTTTGTACCTAATGCATGAAATAAAAAGCAAGCAGTAATATAAACACTTTATGTTGGTATGGTGTAATTTAGGTTTCGGCCAAGTAGGTATCTTAAATATCTGGCTGACTTCATACTTTCTGGGCCCAAATATTTTGGTGAACTTGTTCTGGGTTGTGGCACCATGTAGTCCCATAGGTAGATATTTGTCTACACTTCTACATGGCATCACAATCCAGAAAACCACTGCGAGAACCTCAGATCTTGTTTTGAGAACGTGTAAATTGCATTATTTTCTCAAAGACGCTAGATTTTACAACCCATATAACATGATTGGACAGTCATCAATGACAAAGATATAAAGAACCAGAATAAGGTATAGATGATGTTAGAACTGATACAATACAGTACTTTATTAGGACACAGTTCGAGGACATTTTTACCCATTTTCATTTTTTCTTTATTTTCTTTAGGTGATGCTATTATTTAGAATTGGAAGTGGATGAGTGATGAATATAATTATTACGAATGGTAAATGTGGAAAGAACCGACTTGGAAAAACTCATAGGAATCTATATTCAGGATAGTCAGTCATAATTTGATATGTCAGGTACACTGTGTGGATTAGAACGGTAGTGGTTGTGGCTAAACTCTTCATGCATATGTCAGTATCCAAAAATCACATACTCTCCTTCATTACCATATACAGCAAAAAGTATGACATGAGCAGTGTGGAAATGTAGGAAAGTAATTAATTACCTCACGTTATTCAATCAGGTATATGACTCCTTATCTTGACTGACCTGAACATAGTTTCTACCTCCATGCCTGAAAATCCAAAGGCTGAATCACCCTCTACACATATCACTCTCTTGCCGGGTGCATAAACTTGACACCATAGTGCAGCAGCAATTGCAAAACCTGGCCCAACACCCATAGTGCCAAATGTTCCTGCAGGAAAACACAAGTTTGTTTTTCTAACATCACAACAAAATGTATGATCTGTAGCTTACACAGCGATGAAGTATGATGAATTCTTATCAGGCTACCAGCTGTGTCAGGTGGTTGAACTGAGAAAACACCGACATTTCGAGAACCATCTTTGTCCTCATTCTCAGGGTACTTCAGTACCCTGAGTTCGAGGACAAAGATGGTTCATTATGTTGTGAAATGTTACACAGCGATTATTTGGATAATGGTGAGATTACCAGGACATGTGTACAAAATTTTGGTCAAAAGATCTGAAGGGAAATGACTGCTTGGAAGACCTAAGCATAGATGGACGATATATATTAAAGTGGGTCTTAACAAAATAGGGTGGATGTAGACTATGTTCGTGTGGTTCAGGTTAGGGACTGGTGTTAGGCTTTTGTGAACATGGTAATGAATCTCTGGGTTCCATGAAAGGCAAAGAATTTCTTGATTAGCTTAGTGATTGTTAGTAAAGTTTGTCCTATCCTTAAGTACCACACCGTGAAGCAGTTCCCAATATAAAGATAAATAAGGGTAATCAGAATATTTTAATTCATCATGTGTTGCAGAGTATTGGTATTTCACCTTATTATGCTGCTGCTAATACATTTATAAAGTCTGAAGATTATGAATTTTCAATAAGCTGATTTGATGTTGCATTATTTTCATTGTTACATACCAGCATCAAGTCTGTGTTTTGGCAGCCTGTTGAGTAATATTGAGCGTCCGATGTCCATTGTGTTAGCTCCTTCACTAACTATAATACAGTCTGTAACATTTAAGGAGTCTGATAAAGGATATTATTCTCAGTTTTTGAGCATCATTGTGACATCATAATTAGAATAAACTGTAAAAAAATGGCATAACAAGATGTATTGCTAATGCTGGAGATGTGTATGCATGATTAGAGAACAGGAAACTGAAATAATGTAAATTCACAATTACGTCTATACAATTTGTTGTACATATTATCATTTAATTACAAATATTACAAATAAACCATAACAATTTATAGCCTCCCAACAAAAATTCAAACACTGTAAATTCCCTATTATTTGGTCTAATGAATTTAGAAAGGAGAATAAATAAAAATAATGACAATAATAATATAAAAACACCTAACAGAAATTACTTTACAGAACTTACTCCATTGCCCAGTAATTACATATGTCATTTATCTGTGTATAAATACTACCCTGAATATGTTTAGGTTGATACCTCCAACCTAGAATTAGAAATATAGTTGACATCTATGTCTGAAAAAATATGTAAGGCTTAATGAAACGATATGCCCAAGCTTTGCAGTAGAAACAGTTTATCATTCTTTCTTCCTCTGGTGATATATTTACATTTTTTAACAAGAGTTCTGGTCATTTATGAGTGTTGTCTTTGGTACTCACATGCAGTGACCTTTTCATTCTCTTTAATTTTCAGATATAAATATTTGTTTGATACTTTACAAAATAAGCCATCTAATAAAGAGGAATGCATTTTTCACTGATCATTTTTCTAGCAGAGAATTGTTGTTAAAATTGAGTACTCTGAATACAACTGAATGCACACTAAATATCATAACTGCGTCTATGATAACATCACCAACCATAATAAATTTTTATTTTGCTTTATTATCTTGTAAGTTACATCTGAACTTTTCTATCCTATTTGAATTGTATTAAACTATAAACTGTGTACCTTTTGGTATGGTTTCCTGAATATAATGGAGTGTGGTGTAATAATTGAGTGGTTTTCTTGTATCTTGTATCATTTTCTGTTACAGAACATAAAGACAATTATGAAAGTCAGAGCTGTCGACAAAATACATATGGTGAAAATGGATCCTCATGCTACTAAGTCTCCTAGCTTCCATACTGCATAATACCTACATTAAACAACAAGCACTGGATAAATATAATTCTTCACTAAACATCTAGGTTGGACTTGGTGTTTGTCATTATGGGTTGCAGGAAGCTAGTGGGAGAATTTATTTCACCTTTTCATTTACGTAGTAGTGACACTGGTTTGTTTTCCAACTAATTATGAAGAAAAGTAAGTTGACATATAGATGGCTTAGTCAAAAATAAATTAATAAATGAAGCTAGTGATTAAATGTGATTTTAAACAGTTCATTTTTTCCCCAGCTTTAATGAAATTACAGGTGCCCCTCCTATTTTCTAGGCATTGCAGTGCACTGGTTAGCAGTCCTTTGTATTTGTTTGGCCCTAGTTTGTCACATCCTGGGGATTTGTGACCTGTTCCTTAATTTCTCCAAGGAAATGTTGAATATGTCACATGCATTTCCTTCTGTATCATTCCAAATTGATAATTCATAATCATAATAATATTCAGTGCTATATAGTCTGGCTGTTGAGCAAGTGTGATTAAATGAGTCAAGAAATTAGCTTACCATGATGTTGGCTTTGTTTTTGTCAATCTTTGAATTAAGCTGGCCCCACCATGCACTTACAGAAAGGAAACCCCATGCTTGTGAAGCTAGCCGTAGTACGAGTTGACGAGTAAAGATGCCTATGTCAGCGTGGATTGCCACTTTGGCTGGAATGCTGTTGTGTAACTCTTCAGCACAAATGTCCACCTGTTATATATGTGGAAACTCGAAAGTTATGCCAAACTATGTCCTGTATTTGTAGTTATCGTCATTTCTATAATTATTCATATTATTCAAACCTGAAAGATGAGCAGTGACCATCATCTGTTTCTCCTTTCAGATACTTGTATTTTGTGAACTATGAGACTTCTTATTAACATGCGAGTGCTGTTATCTGCTTTTTACAATGTATTTACCGCATCCTTGATAGTTACTGATGCGCAGAATCTTACAATGTATTTACCTCATCCTTGATAGTTACTGATGCGCAGAAAATTTGTAAATAGGGAAGGTTTGCATAAGCTTTTGTGTTTGCTAAGAACACATGTTGTAGGACACATACATGCAAAACAAGAACGTATAGGTATTTTCTGAATATGTTCTTTAGATTTTTGTATGTCTCATTGGTCTTAAAGTTAATTTGTTTCAGTTGCAAATGAAAGTTCTACATCTTTTTTAAGTTATGTACTAAACCAGTAAAGTTCAATTTCTGATTCACCCACCAACTTATACTGTAGATTCCTGAACATCAAATTTTGTTTAAATCTGTTCTGTAGTTTCAGAAATATGTGGGCAAAAACACATGGACTTCTGATTATGTGTTCATTCTACATGCCACGCAAAGAGCGTATAAACATTTTTGAGATGTATGTTCTTAGCACTGAACCTTTAAATATGCTGAAACAAGACTACGCATTATATTTTCACATGTCAAAACAAAATTTGAAGTATTATTGCAGTGAATGCACAAAAAGAAAAAGTTTTAATTTTACTTGCATACCTGAATAATTTTGACATTTGGGTCAAATCTGGGTGGTCGTCCAAAATGCAAAATCCAATTAAGGCGAGCACCTAACAGGAGGATTGTATCTGCATGTTGTAGTGCTGTGGTACGTGCAGCTGAGACACAGTATATGTCATTATCATCCACAACTCCTTTCCCCATAGGTGTTGGCAAAAATGGAAGGTTAAATGTTCGCACTAAATCACGCACTACACCCTCTGCTCCTGCATATGCTGCTCCTGAATCACATCAAGTTTCATATGGTCTCTGTGTTTGTCATTATTAATATACAAAAAAGTTTCATATGTATGTTTTACCCAATTTCAGTCACATTAGCTGCATTAGTCATTAATATTCACTATTAAACTGAAAGCTAATGCTAGATTTTGAGTGGACCCCTCCCCATGTTGTTTTGCATTCTACAAGAATTTTTACGTAAGTTAGAAATTTATTACCATATAACATTTTAGGATAATGAAGTGAGTAAGTCCAATGCTTCTCCCATGTCAGAAGTTTGTATGTTTATGTTGGTGTAATTGGTGGTAAGGAATTGAAAGTTCAAAGTAAAGGTAGTATTGCCATAATGCCCATACCAAATTCCATGAAACATTACCAATAAATCAAAAAAGTAACTGGGGAAGAAAGCCACATATACATGTGCATATAAGGGCACATTGACAGATATGATTTTTTTCCATAAGATAAGGATAGTTGACCACACATTATTGGAACAGTAATCCTTGTATGTGTGTTACCTTTTCCAACAATCACAAGAGGTCTTTTGGCAGTCATTATGAGGTTGGCAGCTTGCCTGACCAGTGCAGGATCTGGCCATGCTAGTGGTGGATCAGGACAGATGGCAGTGTAGACTACTTTGCTACTAGCCACTTGTTGAGCCAACAGATTTCCTGGGAAATCTAAGTATGACACACCTGTGGAATGTAGAATGGTCAGGAACTTGATAAATACAAAATATTTTACATGAACATTATTTAAGCATAATGTTTGTTAAATATTAACTTGTAAAACTATTTTGTTTTTACTGTTGTACTATAAAGGGACACAGAATAATATCTTGATTAGCTTTTCCTTCATGTCATAAAGCAGCAGTACTGTATTGGTAACCGAGTATTAAATCTGGGAGTTAGTACAGTGACTAGATTATTGGGTGGATGGTGTAGTACTTAGTTTAAGCACCAGGGACAACTTACCTTTACCTTAGTAGCTCATACTATTTATATTACCTAAATAGTATCGAACAGTAGCTCTTGCACTGGATATTTTCAAATTTTGCACAGATTATTCTCTCCATTTTAACTGTTTTCTAAAATATGTGTGTTCACATGCAACAGTGCTATTTATGTAGCATGGGAAACTGCAGAAATCCTATGCACTATTTTTGACAGTTATAGATTTCACCGATTTAGAATAGCGGTAGAAGCATGGGATGAATTTAAACACATGGATAGTCAGAGAAATGAACTTGTTTCTGTTGCTTTCAACATCATAAATTTTACTCAGAAAGTCTAAAAAGAAAAGCCTTTAGAATTATAAAATGTGCCTTCTGAAAGGAATTAACTAAGCCATTCATAATGAGGAACTGTGAGTTTTATGCAGGTGATCAGGTATTTTTAGGATGTTAAAATCTAGACCACAATATACTGGGAATGAAGCTAGGGTGAGGGAGACAAGAAAGGCATCCACAATTTTGGTGGAGAATTCTCTTGAAAAGCAGCAACTTGGAAGACAAGGAGGAGACAGGAGGATAATAATAGAATGGGTGTTTCGGAACCAAGTTGTGAGGATCGGATTTATGGAATCTATCCTGCTATGGCATTTTGTTGATGTCACTGTAGCAATGAAATATACAGTGAACTAAAATTAAGCACTGAGGATGTCAGAAATTTCTGATGTGGCACATGGTTTAACATTTGTTACTATAGACTGTAACAGGTTCTACTGTTACTATTAATACCAAAGAATTTAGGCAATATGTAACAACAAATTCTTCAATGAAATATTGATATTTCAAGGTTTGTTGAAAAATATGGTAGCAAAATTGTTTCATTTGACAAAATGTCAGCTGGCAGGTAAAAGCAGTACCTGGCCTTCCATATATCGACAGTCGAACAGCCTTTTCAACATGTGTAGGGATGAGTGTTGGCCCTGGAGGTCGAGCACTGTATTTACAATATGGTCTGGCGAGATCCACTTGAGAACATTCTTGGAAGCCTCCTATGCCTTCATGATCTTGTGCACATGAACCACCAATCACAAGAAGAGGCCTAAGTTGCAAACATTTATATATGGACTTACAGTGAAATAAATTAATATGCTGATAGGAATACTATACTTGACTTGGTCATTGCCCAAGGTATATTTGATATACACAACATTTTAGGTGTTGGTTATACTTCCATCTTCAAGTGACGGGTTGTCATTTTACTGACAGTTTGTTACTATATTTGTTATGATTTTTAGGCAGTGCTGTACATGAAATTATTGTTGGTATGAGAACTTTATCAACTTAATAGTATGTAGGTGTTAGAATACTTTTAACCTGCATCATATGGGAATAAGGTAATTGATTCTCGTACTACAATGCTGCTGACCAGACTTCAACTTTAAGGTTAACAATTTAGCAGTACATTACTGCACCATACGTCTAGCCAGACTAAACCAGTGAGAAATTGTGTGTAGCTGTGAATGCATCCTATACTTGGTAGCTTCAAAGTAGCAAAGAAGGGATAATGGAACTTGCTCATATGGAAGAGAATGCATGTCTTTTTACCTACACAGTTCAGAGGATTGTTAAGTTTCCATTCAACTAGTGGGGGAGTTAGCTCTCTAGAGGAAAGCATAATGCGTGGAAAGTTTTGAAGTGGAGGCCAATGTCAGATTTTCCTAGCAGTCGGGGAAAATTGACAACAAAAATTCTGCAGATGCTTTGGATGACAAACAGTTCACCAGTCAAAGATGTATAAGTGACATCACAGGTTTGAAGGAAGATGTTGATTTCTAAATACTTCATATTATGTTACATTGCCAGAAGATCAGTATGAGGTTCACCAGCAGCTGATGAATTTCTCAAACTTTGTTCATTTCAGATGAACTTTGAAAGAGTTTATAAGTGAGAAAAAGTCTCGTCCTCTTAAATTATTGTAACCTAGAACTGACTTGAGATTTAGTTGTAGCTACTGGGCCTATGTTAATATACCATTTGTTAAAACATACAATATTGATTAAGATCATAAACAACTGGTGTTATATTAAAACCATACTGTTGCTGTAAGCAACTTTATAATAAAAGCCAGCTTCTTTGTAAAGATAAGCCATTCTTAGCCATAAAACTGTGATGGTTGTACCACTTATGTACTTGAAGACATCTGTAAATATTACTTGGTACCATACCAACAGTTTATCTGAGCATTGGCCATGCCTCCAAGTGCATGGAGAAGTCCAGGACCGGACACCACAAGGCATACACCAGGACGTTTAGTGAGGTAACCAATAGTCTGTGCAGCATAGCAGGCTGCTTGTTCATTTCTCATTCCCACAAAGTGTAGTCCAGCCTGTTGCATTGCCAAGCTCAGCTCTATCACAGGGATACCCACGATACCAAACACATATTTCACACCCTGAAACAAAGATACAATAGATAACCTATAAATAATGAGTACCATTTTGTACAACTTATATTTATTTGATATATTTTACCTGTGCAAGAAGTGATTCAGCCAAAATTTTATTTCCATTAACTTCATCCTCTGCAGACATATTACAAGTGTACTTTCACTGTTATTAACAAAACTGTATGATCACAGAACTGCAACTACACCCAGTTCTTGTATAGTGGTATCTGTTACGTAAATCAGTACAAGTTTCGAGGTTATGGGTTGCACATTGATTCATGAAAAAAAAATCATACAGCTGTTCACTTATCAAGGTCCTGAGATCTATATCCACATTTAACTTCAGTGTTGCCAGATCTGCAGATAAATTGCATATTTTTATTCGAGGATTATTTAAATAATACAGGTATATATTCTGTTTTGGTTGTGCTGTTGCACACATCATTCTGTTTATTCTGGTTGTAGGCTCTGGTGAAATGTTTCCCAAAGCCATACTTGTTTGTGAGTGTGTGGTTGGCAAACCAATTTGATAACATAAACGTATGAATGATTTCACTAAGGTTGTGAAACAAGTTTTTACTACAACGTAATATACATATAAACGGTTTCAACCAGGATGTGAAGTAAGTTTTTATCACAACTTCATATTCTTTTTATACTTGCCCAAGATAATTATAATGTGGAACTAATCTGTTGAGGTTATGTTACTTCCCGCTTTTGGGTTTAATAACTATAACCCTAAAGGGAAATCATATTTTTATGAAAGCAGGCCTATCATATAATGTGTATGTTATTTTAATAAACCATAGATTATTTTAATCATTAATAAAAGGAATTCTCATAAAGAGATGGTGTAACATTATGAGCCATTATAAAACAAGAAACTACAGGGTAGAATTTGAATTATAAAAGTAGGAAATTCTTTAGGTAAGAGATGGATTTTAAACATGTCACTGTTTTAGAATTGAACTAGGATAGAATAGAATTTATTTACATTATGTAGATCCTTCATAGGCCCAGGCCAATAATGTAGAACATGTCATAGCACAAATGCAATACTTGTTTATAATACAAATATAAATTACGTAGTTATGACAGTAAACTACAGCATTACCACAAAAATAATTACACAATAAATCATATCCACTATTGCTTACATGTTTTTATAATAGAAGAGAATTTTTGGTTGAGATAAATTCTTTGGAGTAGGAGTGTGTTAGGAGATACTCTTTAGTGCTGGCTTAAACTATTTTATGTCATGATTCAGACTTTTTGTAGTGGGTGAGGGAGAGGTTATTGAATAGCTTAATTCCAGTATAGGAAACTCTTTTTTGATATTTTCTGAGGTTATTGTTTGGCACATGAAGGTCATAGCTGTATCTTGTACTCATATTGTGAATATCTGAGTTTGAAGATGGCTGTCTTGTGGGTTGTGCTGTGTAGACTCACTGCCGTGTACATAAGGCTGTCCTTTTAATGTTTGCCTTTATTTAATGATTTTCTTTTGAATGTAAAATATTTTTTAGCTGTTTGTTGAGTTTGTTCATTTATAGTTACAATCTTTGCTTGAAGAAAATTTTACATTCCTGGAAGTAGAGTTTAAACATTTTCTGAGGCATATTAAAAAAAATGGCTGTTACTGTATAGATATCTTGTAAATAGTAGACTTCAATACATTTATCAAAGGACAAAAAAAGAAAGTCTGAATTTTTACCAGAAGACCATCATGGATATCTTCACCATTGTGAGAATCTTTATTCTCAAAGAATGAATATTCTTGGAACACAGACGGTAGAGCAACTAAAAGTTTCACAGAAATAAACCAAGAAATGCACATTGCAAGTAACTTTTATTTTCAAAGTAGAAATGAAAGTACAGACTGCCTTTCTGTTCCCTTTAATAAAATAAAGTTAACACATGACACAAATTCTTCCCAGAGGTGGGACTAGGTAGTTTTACAAGTTTTGTGTGATAGGTAATGACAATATATTTGTTCAACAACATTGAAGGTTATGTAGAACACCTAGCTTGCTTCCTTTTTTATGTTTGAATATTGATGAGAATTTAACTGTATATATGTAATCTATAATCTTGTGGTGAGATGACATACTTCAAAAGTGGCAACTGAAACAAAGCATATTAAACGCACAGTTATTTGTTAGCATTCTTAAGCTGTATATATTAAAACTTATGTGGTTCTAATTTTTCTTTTCACCCATTGTTATGAGATGTATGAGGATGGATGAGTGTAGCATGAAGCATGCATGGGATCAATGAGGCATGTCTGCAATTTTAGTCAAAAAACTGTATGACCACATGGGAGATCTAGACATAGGTGGCAGGATGATATTAAAATGTATCTGAATTTAATTTCATAGTGAATGAAAAGCTCTCTGCATATGCAGTTATTTAGTTTAGAATGGGTCTACTGACTAAGATTTCAGTAACATATATATAGACTGTATTCAAAATCTTGTTTTAAACTTCATCAGTCATAGTCTAACCAGATAATAATAGGTCGTAGTAAGTGAAGTGTGATTCGATTTTAGGAAAATATTAATGTAACCTTTTTTTAAAGTACAACGTGACGGTACATTGGCACCCCTGGGTCACGATAGGGGATGTCCAGTAACTGGGCTAGGGTCATGACTCCATCATGGGGTGAGGTAACCTGTTGACAAACAAAAAAGGTTTTATTCATAAATATTAACCTTATTTTATTAAATGAATAGTCTCAGCCCATCTGTGATAATACCATATGTGACACGATATGATGAGCTTTTTCACATAAAGCCAAGCACAAAACATCTGATTCTCCAAACTAAGACTTTTTTTTTCATTCACTTAAGTCAGTAGATTTCACAATCATGGGCTTCCTTCACATCCCATATTTCAAATATTTAATGCAGTGAAATGCCTTTTAGTGTTTCATGTTATGTATCTTTTCTTCAGCTGAACTTTAAATGGTTGATTTATGATTCAACATCATTAGTAATCTCTGACTTAATTAACTACAGTTAATATATTTTATTTGATAATGTAGACCTACTACCTTTAGTTTCAGTTCAGTTATTTCAGATTGCTTATGAATCACTTGTTTCTGATCTTCCACTAAGGTGCAATCAGTCTGCTGTCAATATATTGTGTGTTAGACTTCTAGACTTATTGTCTTTTTAGTTATCTTCTGATTCATAATAGCTTGAATGCATTGAGTTAAATTTTGAGGTACATAATGTTAAATAAATATAATTTCCTTTGCTTGTCCCATAAGTGTGTGGTTGCCTTCTAGTATGTGAGATTCTTCAGTGTTGGATTGAGAAACGTATTTTGAGTCTAAGATGTACTTCTGGGAGCATGTTTCATCATTTGAGCCTTCATCCTTTTGCAGTGCTGTGTTTATAAGCCATGAATAACTACTGTATACTTTGTGTTGTATGTGCTAGTGTTTGCTTCACTGTTTTTTGAACACATGTTTTATTTCATGAGCACATGCACTAAACTACTTATATTGGTATGTATAATTATGCAGTAGGTTGTTGATATGACCAACACTTGCTTGTCGCTTCCTGGAGACCATGAATCTCTTGTCCTTCGTAAATCCTCCCCATTGGCTGCTGTCTGTCTTTTGTGCAGGGTACAAGGGATACTGCTGAGCAGTAGGCAGTATAGGGTAGTGGTATCCCCCATGTCGCTCCAGCCAGTATTGATGTGGGGTGGTTGATGGATTTGCTACTGGTCCTTCCAACCATCCACCTGAAGAAAACACATGGTGTTTTCTATTATTTGACATTTTTTTTAATACTTTCCAGTATGTATTTCAACATTGATAATTGGCCAATTCCATAAAAGTTTAAATCTTTCTTAATACCATCACAATACATTTCTTACATTTCACTTAATTGATGGTGCCCAAGATGTCTTCAGTGTATATGTATAGGGGCTTAGCATTAAAAGAGAAACTGTTTTTATCTGTTGTTAATGATTAACTTGATACAGGTTTTATGTATAAAAATAAGCTACTGAACAACAGAAAATGTTATCTGTATGACATAAATGAAAATAATTTTAGGAATTTTCAGTTATAGTTACTGTTTATAACATTAACAATAAAAGTAACTGCAGTTTACTTTTTAATTCTTACACCCTGAAGATAAATGTATATGTTTCAATCTTTTTGGGCTCCATCAGTTAAATGAAATTTATAGGTTGTATTGTGGTTGTACTAGTAAAGATTTGAAACGTGGAAAACAATGATGAGAACATCAAATTTAAAAACCTATAAAAATTATGTAACTTAATATAATTTAAACACAGTTCGTATCATTTCTTTCATCTTACATTGTCGATAGAAATCAGAGCAAGCAAAACTGTGCCTTGGCAGTATTTCAACTTGAATACTATAGGGTTACCAGACACTTTATTTTCAATGGAATTTTCCCATAATTTCTTGAAAGGTTACATCATACTGGTAAATTAAGAAGAGTAGAAAGGTGTATTCCAATAGAATACACATATTTTCTGAACGAATTTGCTGTGGCTTTGCATTCTTCATTGAACATTTATGTTATTATGTTCATTTATGTTAGATAAAAGCTTGTTGTTTTGAAGCTAGTTAGTCACACTACAGATATCACTGCGTAGAGTTACAGATTATCTTACTTGTATTTTATTAAATATTTATTATATCATAAAATATTTAAAATAATCATTGTAGGGCTAATGGGATATTATTTTTTTATTATTTATAAATTTTCCACGTGATGAGCAGTATTTGAGGAAATTTATATTATCAAGTTTTGAGTTTCACATAATGTTAGTGTTATATTGGAACAATAGAAACCAAAATTAAATAAACCTCGTATCTTTGGTTTAGATGCCCAGTTGTAAATCTAATTGAAATCAGTTCACTAGTTTCGGAGGCAAAACAAGCAGGTAGATAGACAGAAACTCTCCATGCATATATTTTGGGTACTTCACCAAAAACAGAATACTAATTGGCATGACTAACTAGCTTTATCTGTGTTGGAGTATCCCTGGTATTTTTTGAGAAAGAACCCAATCGTGTTTTGATGATGAATGAAAAAAGCGTTTAAGACTGTTATAAGACTTTCAACTTTACCTACAATATCCTATTTGAATAACATCAGTTTAATTTGCAGATTGATTTTACTAGTCTGCATCTTGATCCTTGAAGAATTGTGAATGATCAGTTACCCTGTAGAATGAGAATATGTGTATAAAGTGTAAAGTAATGCTTACCATCAGTCTGAGAAGCATCTCCATCATCATCTTCAACTTCTTCGTTCCGTTCGTCCTCTCCAAAAGATCTAGGAATGTCCAATCCATAATAGTTTAAGCAGGAAGGATCCATACTGGCAATAAATCAATCAGTTGCATTTTGTGTATTATGTTTTGAGCCATGTCATAGTAAGTTTGTGTGTCACTTGAAGTTCTGTTGAATACTTACAATACCTCTAAAATTATTCCATTCAAATTTTGAATGCAGCCAGCCTTTTTCAATGAATCTAATACTCTGTCTTCGTAGAACTGTGGTTTTCAGCTGATGTGCCACAAGACTATCTTGTGTGGATAACAAAATTAAAGTAGATAATTACAGTGTTTTTTGGGGAAATTCGTTATTTTAAAAAGCAGTAGCAATAGCACTAAGTTCAGACAGACAGATATACAGTATAATGCATACATTTCTGTCAGTTTGTCACTGTTCCCAAGTCCTTTGTAAAAGTGTGTAACGCAGAGGAAAAAGTTGGAAACTCTCATATACAATTTTCTACCTGAAAGTTATAAACAGACTTGTATATTTGCCAATTTTCATATCTGTTTGTCACATTCAGTTTCACATTCTTAACTATATTTTCATCATTTGATATTCTGAAGCTGAAAACATAAATTTTGAATAATTATTTTTGTAGGTTTTGTGTTCTTCCAGCCAAACACCAGGATGGTAGTTTGAAATTGACCACATTTGCTTCCCCCATCCCCTTCCTTTCTGGTTAATGAAATAACTAGATATAACATTAGTCTTCCTCTTATATAATTTTATGCTAAACGAACTCTGTAATTAATGCAACATAGTCACATATGCAAAGATGAAAGAAGATATTTTGTATACTCATAAAAATAGCTTTACCTTGGGTTATTGTCATTTGTGACTCGATGCTCAGCTTTCCACAATGACAGCAAGGTGAGAACATCCTCAGGATCAAGCCCAAGATCTCGCTTCAGCCTGGCTGTGCTGCTAGTGAGGTCATCAGTAGGCAATACAAATGGGATATCAGGCCGGTAGCTGGAATGAATTGAAAACTATAATTAGAAATCAGTGTCGCAAAGAAGGATTTGCAAATGTTTAGCTGACTTTAATGAAGTAAGACTGCTCCACCTCATGCTGCAGGTGGTTTGCTGAAAAAAGAAAACAATATATATATATATATACTTTTTTGTATTTGAGTATCAGTAATAAGGTTATCTGATTTGAGGTTGTTAGAACTGTCTAAATATTGGGTTGAGGGACATGCATTGTAATACACTGTACACATATTCTTTATAAATGGCATTATAATCCATGTGATTCACTCCTGTCCATATATTTATATTTTCATATCCTGACCATATATTATTTATTTTACTCTTACCTGCGCTTTGTTGGTGGTGTGTATGTGAGGCGTTGGTTGCGTTTCCGTTCATTTGATCCCCCGTAGTAGCGGTACTGGTTCATTGCACCTGGGAGAAATCCTTGTCAGTCAGTGATCCATTTATGTGGATAATTTCCACTAGTACAGATTGTCATTATGTTATTTACCAGCTATAACCTCAAGTTGCTAACAGTTACCATTTTTGTTATTGAAAATGGCTGTCTTCTGGGTTGTTGCGCCATGTAGTCTAGTAGAAGTTTAATGATGAAACGTCGGTACAGACTATACAGCTCAACAACACACGAGACAGCCATGTTGAGACTCACCGTCATGAAAGCATCAAATCCTATTTGTGTTTGTCATTGCTAACATATAAGAAAAGTTTGATGCATAATTTTTACATTCCATACAAAATTTTACTTGTTTATTTGCAGTGGTTAATTTAGCATTCACCATAAACAGGAAAGCTAAATACAAATTTTTACATTGCCGCCTAGATGTTGTTTCTATGTTCTGCAAACATTGCCTTCGCAGGAGTTTAATTTATTTCAAACATATAACCATATAAATATTTGGGGCCCTTCATTAAATGGTGCTTGTACTTCTCCCGCTCATATCTCACTGTTTCATGTTGCTATCGCTGGTGGCAGGAAATTAAAAACATTAGGGAAGAGTGGCATGTTGAGGTGTGATATTTATATCAGCTTTAATGAAAATTCATCAGTTGGTTGAAAAGTGTTTAGGGGAGACAGATACAGAGGCTTAATAATGTATATAAACCTATATATCTTTATAAATTATGGTAAGTATGGTAAGAAAAGTGTGGTAAAAGGTGTCCCCTAAAGATTATATAAATTAGGATTCATTTAGAATTTTTTTTCTGATTTCACACAATTTCAGAATGACTTCCGAATGAGATTGCTTTTACGAGCCAACAACTTACCAGGGTCGCCATACAATTCAGACTTGAGGAGAGCATTCTCAACATGCTTATCATGTGCTGCCTTCCCCACACCGTATTGGTATCCCTTCTCATACTGTGACACAGTTTTTCCACGACTCTGATAATCCTGCTGATTTGCCAAGTCTCCGTGGTTTTGTTCCTGGTGGTGTTGAGTGTTCTTGTGTCCTGTATTATGGATGTTGCTTTGTCCCGTTGCTTTTCCGTCATTGCTGTATTGTTCTTGGTGTCCATTCTTGTTTCCATCCTCCCATGTCTTGCTGGTACTTGATGTGGCAAGCGGTACTGCAGTTGGTAGTTCCTCATCTTTGTCAAGCTTACTAGAGGCTGGAAAACCATCAGACATGGTAATAACTTCTGCTTCCGCTTCAGAAGCAAGGACAATCTTCTGTCTGTATAATAGGCAGTATTGGTTTGTTGATGATCATTGTGTAATGCCTGTGTGTCTGTCTGTCTGTCTGTGTATGTGTATATAGAGAGAGAGAGCTGGGGTAGTTCAGTCAGTATAGTGACTGACTATGAACTGGACAATCAGGGTTTGATCCCTGACATGGGTAGAAGTTTCTTTCTCTAGCCTCTGCGTCCAGACTGGCTCCAGGAGCTCACTCAGCCTCGTAACCAATATCCAGTGGGTACCGGGTTCCTTTTCTGGGTATAAAATGCTGCTGGGGCACAACGCTGACCACTCACCCTTATCTAGTGCAAAGGTTAAGCTCTCAGAGTGCTATATGGCGTGTAGTGGGATAACTTTACTTTATATATACACACACAGACAGAGAACAGATGCTGGAAGGAAGATTTTGGACCAGGATAGGCGAAGGAGATGTAGAATCTTTTTCACATATTTCTAAGTACTTGGTGGGTGGGAAGTAAGTAGGCATTGAGAAATGGTTATAATATAGAAATATAGAGGTTATAACCATTTCTCAATGCCTACTTACTTCCCACCCACCAAGTACTTAGAAATATGTGAAAAAGATTCTACATCTCCTTCGCCTATCCTGGTCCAAAATCTTCCTTCCAGCATCTGTTCTCTGTCTGTGTGTGTATATATAAAGTAAAGTTATCCCACTACACGCCATATAGCACTCTGAGAGCTTAACCTTTGCACTAGATAAGGGTGAGTGGTCAGCGTTGTGCCCCAGCAGCATTTTATACCCAGAAAAGGAACCCGGTACCCACTGGATATTGGTTATGAGGCTGAGTGAGCTCCTGGAGCCAGTCTGGACGCAGAGGCTAGAGAAAGAAACTTCTACCCATGTCAGGGATCAAACCCTGATTGTCCAGTTCATAGTCAGTCACTATACTGACTGAACTACCCCAGCTCTCTCTCTCTATATACACATACACAGACAGACAGACAGACACACAGGCATTACACAATGATCATCAACAAACCAATACTGCCTATTATACAGACAGAAGATTGTCCTTGCTTCTGAAGCGGAAGCAGAAGTTATTACCATGTCTGATGGTTTTCCAGCCTCTAGTAAGCTTGACAAAGATGAGGAACTACCAACTGCAGTACCGCTTGCCACATCAAGTACCAGCAAGACATGGGAGGATGGAAACAAGAATGGACACCAAGAACAATACAGCAATGACGGAAAAGCAACGGGACAAAGCAACATCCATAATACAGGACACAAGAACACTCAACACCACCAGGAACAAAACCACGGAGACTTGGCAAATCAGCAGGATTATCAGAGTCGTGGAAAAACTGTGTCACAGTATGAGAAGGGATACCAATACGGTGTGGGGAAGGCAGCACATGATAAGCATGTTGAGAATGCTCTCCTCAAGTCTGAATTGTATGGCGACCCTGGTAAGTTGTTGGCTCGTAAAAGCAATCTCATTCGGAAGTCATTCTGAAATTGTGTGAAATCAGAAAAAAAATTCTAAATGAATCCTAATTTATATAATCTTTAGGGGACACCTTTTACCACACTTTTCTTACCATACTTACCATAATTTATAAAGATATATAGGTTTATATACATTATTAAGCCTCTGTATCTGTCTCCCCTAAACACTTTTCAACCAACTGATGAATTTTCATTAAAGCTGATATAAATATCACACCTCAACATGCCACTCTTCCCTAATGTTTTTAATTTCCTGCCACCAGCGATAGCAACATGAAACAGTGAGATATGAGCGGGAGAAGTACAAGCACCATTTAATGAAGGGCCCCAAATATTTATATGGTTATATGTTTGAAATAAATTAAACTCCTGCGAAGGCAATGTTTGCAGAACATAGAAACAACATCTAGGCGGCAATGTAAAAATTTGTATTTAGCTTTCCTGTTTATGGTGAATGCTAAATTAACCACTGCAAATAAACAAGTAAAATTTTGTATGGAATGTAAAAATTATGCATCAAACTTTTCTTATATGTTAGCAATGACAAACACAAATAGGATTTGATGCTTTCATGACGGTGAGTCTCAACATGGCTGTCTCGTGTGTTGTTGAGCTGTATAGTCTGTACCGACGTTTCATCATTAAACTTCTACTAGACTACATGGCGCAACAACCCAGAAGACCTCTGGATTCAATCTTGTTTAAAAACACAATTACCTCACAGAAACTGTCATCTTTTTCCAGATACCTGCATGATAATTACAAAAATTGTATATGTAATGGCATTTAATATATTTTACTGTATTATATTCCTCTTCCAGGGTGGGTGGGAAGTAAGTAGGCATTGAGAAATGGTTATAATATAGAAATATAGAGGTTATAACCATTTCTCAATGCCTACTTACTTCCCACCCACCCTGGAAGAGGAATATAATACAGTAAAATATATTAAATGCCATTACATATACAATTTTTGTAATTATCATGCAGGTATCTGGAAAAAGATGACAGTTTCTGTGAGGTAATTGTGTTTTTAAACAAGATTGAATCCAGAGGCTACGTCAATGCATTAATGTGTGCATTTTGGCTGTCAGACCACGTTATTCTTTCGTTTAATTTTAATCAAAAGCAAATATTTCTGAAGTGATGTTTAATTTTTAAAATGTATAGTTTGAATAGTTTGGTTGTAAAATTGGTAACAGAGAACAACAATATCTTATACAGGCCACAATTGTAGCATTACCTTGCTTGTGAGTAGTGGGATAGAATTTATCAGCTGAGGGGCGGTTCTGTTGGTTTCCAAACAGCATCACCTCCTGTGCTTTCTTCACTGCAATAAGAAAATGTGCTGCGATCCACCAAACCTGAGTTGATGTGTGTCTTATGTGTACCCGGACCTATGACATAGCTAGGAATCTGAGGGACTTATTAAGAAGAAAACCATCTCACATATACACGGATTGTTTCAGAAGTTATATGAATACGTCACGTCGATATTAAGGAATGTGTGAAATAATATTCTGGACATTAAAACGACGAATAAGCACAAGGTTGCTAGTTCCCGTACATTTATTTTGAAGTGTGGCTTAGATCTGGAAAAATATGTTGTTAGAACAGAAGTTTTGAGGTATGAAGCTATAAAGTTCTGCACCATAGTAGACGATATTACCAAGGAATATATACGTAATGTACCTACTAATAATGTGATAAATATAGGGTTAATAAATAATTAAGTTAAAAATGGTTGAACCACTGCAGCAGACTATCAAATCTTGTTCCACAGTGCCAACCAGAAAGATGTATTATATTTTTCATTTGTGTCTTATTTAACGACGCTGTCAGTAGCCCAGACTTTATAGCCTCGAATGATGGGTTTATTAATGAATTGGAAAGGATTTGGAAGGTAGTGGTCATGCCCGAATTTAAGGCACTATCTCGGAATTTGACTGGGGGGACTGAGGAAGACTATGAAACACATCAGGATATCAGTCTTCGGGCTGCTGTATATGTAGTAGGAGTGATAACCACTCGACTGGGACTTTCGGTCTGAGTATTATAGGAATGTGGGAAGATGGTTTTATTCAAGTTGGCTATGAAGCCAGAAGAGACGTAAGGGTTTCGTGAATAATTATCATAATTCTGGTCCTAAAGAGAGAACAGCTGGACATGTAGAGGTTATCAGACAAAATGTATTTCTGTGACTGTACATTGTGTCCTCTTTGCTGTTGGCTTTGACCGATGATTGGTTAGCGAGCAGGCAAGACTTTTTGCAGGTGTGCCTTGTATAAATGAGGAGGTCAAGGCAGGGGCTACCAGCCAATGCTTCCACCTCGTTATATTGATTTAAATGTCGTCACTCAGTCTTCCCCTCCTTCCCTTCACATCCTCATGCTACTTGTTGCTTACGGCATGTAATTATTTGGATAAAATGAAGAGCTTAGTTTTCTATCTGCTTCTACGCCTTGGGTTGTGTACAGTGCGGATATTACTATCGACCGAGCTGTAAAATGTACACGTGCCGGTATCAAAAAGATTAGACAAGTTTGAAAATTGTGTTCCACGAAAGCTCAGCGACCCGCAGGATCAGAGTTTGCTTTTATAGGAGGAAAACACATACATGATTATTTTGTATTTGCTAACACAGAGTATACTGAAATAGTTCCCTTATGGTATATTAAAATCCCGAGAAGAGTATCGACATTTGTCAAAATTGGGAGTAATGTTGGCTCGTAAAACATTACCTTTTTTGTTTTGTTTCTATCATCAGTCCATCCATATATTTGTCTGTCTTCTTATCCACGCGTAATAGCTACATTTTGTCATCTACTTATTATATAATTTTTCTCGTAGTAAATTTTGTGATATGTGAAAAAGCTATTCTTACGTACGTCTCAGTATTTATATGGAAACACTAATCAAAATTTCTCAAAATCTGCAAAGGTGTGTAAAGGGTATGAAGGTATTCTAGACGTCGATATTAGATGGAAGTGAGTGGTTACCTCACGCTTCGGCCGCCTTGACCCTTTTACTTATCGCTTAGGGAAGCTGGGTGGACCCCAGAACCAGTCTAGGTGAGATAGTGGCGGGGAAAAATCACTACCCATGCTGGGAATCGAATCCCATAGTCAGTCACATTATGAGATTTTACAAGCGAGAAACTGTTTTTGCCGTTTTCAGATTAACTCAAACCATTTATGGGTCACGTACCACATGCTTTGTAACTGACTGTTATGTGTTTGAAATCTGTAATAGTATTCTCGGACGATGTTCTCACAAATGGAGTCTGAAATGAAGAGTAGCAATTGTAATATGTACAGTAAAAAAGTGAACGTGCTTATGTTATCAAGGTGTCGAATTTACAGGAAAAAACAAACAAACAAACAAACAAAGAAGGCTGAATGATTCAGATTACTAAGTCTTTCTTTGGATAAGGCAGTTCTGCTCCCAGCAGAAACTAATTTCCTCTGTCCATTGATTTAGCAGTGTGTTGTACTGTACAAAATACAAAGGCAATTTGTTATAGCAAATTAGGACGCTCCAGTTGTCAAAATGTACATTGATAGTGAAGTTTGAAGGATGAAAGAACTCTGCAATATGCCAGATTTATATTTGTAGTTCTGCTTTGGAGGATATCCGCACGTTTCTGAATATAATATTTAGTATGGTTAAATAATTTACATATTATTAGCATTTTCGGCGTTTTATGAGTTACGAAGGTTATTTTTATATTATGGAAAAAAAACCCTCTCATTGTTATGCACGACATATCTCGATTAGAAGCATTAGCCTTTCTTGTTTGAATTCTCTTCTTGATTGATATTTTATAACTTCAGTTAAAGAAACATCTCTCATATTCTCTCAACGATTATAGTCAATAAGTCGAAGAGAAATGCCCTTGTCCTCTCCGGTAACTGAACCCCGATCGTCAACCTAACGCCAGTCGCTTTACTGAACTCAAGTTATCACGGCTTAGATTTACATATTGTAATTATATACAGTATATTTGTATCTGCAGCAAATCAATATTGACGCCATTAAAGAATAACAAATCTCTAGGTTTGCATTTGCAAATTATCGTATGGTTTTAAGAGGAAATGGAATGGGTCCTACCGTTGAAGCAAAGTGACACAATAGCGAGCACAGTAACAGGAAAACATGTTCTGAAACATCAGACTCTGTTGGATGAAAGGCGCACTGGGATGTCCTGGTCCCCTGCAGCGGAATTACGTGATACGCACACACAGTAAACAAGATGCTATCGCATATTGGCATAGTTCGAAGAGACTTTCATAATTCGTTACAAAACCTGTTAATGGATTCTGGGACATGTTTAAAATCCTCCGATAATTAATTGTGCTGTAGGATCTGATGATAAATTGCATTTTCGTTGCTTGTCTCTGATATGGTCACAAATGCTAACTTTGGGGTTAATTAAGAGGCGGGAATTCTCAACCTCTTAAAAATCTAGTGGTATGTATACGTACCACCTGTTGAAACATTCATCATCCTGATTTCAAAATAAACAGCAGAGACGTCCTTAAACACCACACCGACCTTCTAGAGGTGCTTGTCAACAGGTAGTAAATACCTCTGAAACGTCGGAAAAATTCTTCCAGAATACACGGCGCAACATCCCAGAAAACAGCCATCTTGTTTTGGGAACTGGTGACTTGCTTCTTACCTTTGGATGTGCTGGGTTCGGACTCTGCTGCCTTAATGGCATCTACCAACAGAGTACTCGGTAATCCAGCCACAACGGTTATCAGGAAGGCTGTCAGGACACAGGTTGCCGTCATCCCAGCCATGACAGCTGCGCAGTGCAGACTCGGTTTCCTCTTGTTCTAAATTTGAAATGAAAGCGAAGTATAGATTATCCGAAGGGAACAACCAAGTTCAACCTTTTTTACCTTTTTCCGTTTGAGGTTAGCATAAGAAGTAATTTAGACGTTCGTAACTACTTAACGCAAGTCCTTTATTTGAGACATCAGCTGTTAAAATATGTTATTGATTCGTTTAATTATGCTTCATCACTTCATCAGCTGCAGTCATTTTTGGTTTATAGCCACGGTGGTCTAGCGGTTAGAACGCTGGCCCTGTAATCCTGGGGGATCTCGGGTTCGATTCCCGGCGGTGCCGGAATTTATAACTTGTGTTGGGCAAGGCCGTGGTCTAGGCAACACGGAGTTTTCCTTCCGGGGGCTTCCCCGGTTTCTCCGTGGCATCCCAACAATTACTCCATTCACACACAGAAGAAGGCAATGGCAAACCACTTCTGGATCATCTGCCATGAAGAAAAGTGAACAGGTCTCAGTCCGAGAAAAGGATGGAAGGATCCTGTTCATATGGACCTGTCGTCAGACAGAACACTAAATAAATAAATAGTGTTGGGGAGGAAGTGGTCCTATTTCAGGTGCTAAGGGCCCTAAAAGTCATTCAGGGTTTCTTGTTTCATTGTCATCCGTTGGGCTCCTATTTAGAAGGGTGTTTACGGCTTAGAAGGACAAAAAGTGTTTGGCGACAAAGTTTAGCAATAAAGTAAAGACTTAGTGATTGTTAGGGGACATTTATGTCAGTACTTAAGTTGATTTGTGAATCTAAGTAATGAAATGTAGCGTTTGTTGATATCTTTTCAAAACAACTCTAAATTAAATCGTAGGTGTTTGACTCATAGCAGCCATCTCCAAATAAGGAAATACTGTCACACAGATTTTACTTGTAAAGTTAATAGTTACTCACTGCTTTTATAAAACTCGTAGGTTCGCTGCCATTTTCACTGAAGTTCGTCATTAAACTCTATCCTGATACTGTTTAATCCAGTCTTCGTCTTTTCTCTTGAGAATCAGTTGTAATATTACCCTTCCATTTTTGTTTAGTTCTTTCAAGTGATCTCTTTCCTTGAAGTTTTTAAACCATATATGTAGTTCTTATTTTACCCATTCATGCTAGATGTCTTTCCCAAGATGATAATCGATTTAATCACGCTAACAATACTGGATGACAAGTACGGCTTCAGTCTCTGTTGTGTTACTAAATAAGGAACTAAGATTGGAAGAAACATCGAGACAACGAGATTCAACCCGGACACCTAATACTACGTACCACACGCGTTAGTGTGAAATAAGCTTGTTCGGGGTGTTAACAGAGTAACAAAACTCGGGTTATCTCTTACTCCTGACATAAAAATTGCAATTCATTGCCACTCTGGCATTTAGTGCAGCCCTCATTTCCCCCGGAGCAGAATCAAAGTACGATAAACAGTGGAGCTTTCTGTATATCGCAGCTTTATTTTAACCTCGTTGCAACAAAAGTTAGAATTTTTATTACGTAACGTAAAAATTTCTCCCCAACGACCACCATTAGAACAGTTATTAAAACGAATGCTAATGAAAGGAACTGTAAAAAAATTAATTATTTCAGTAAAATAAAGAAAGTTAACAAATTATTACGAATCCTGCCGTTAAGCAGAATATTGAATATATGTAGTACTTTGAAGAATTTGTTGCAACGAAGGGGTCCTGAATGAAAGATGTGTAGTACTTTGAAGGATTTGTTGCAACGAAGGGGTCCTGAATGATTCCATTTCCCTCCATGTTTAAACTGCAGATAATGTAACGACTAACCATATGACCATTCATTGGTTAATGTGTAGGTTATTTAATAATGCTCTTTATCTGCAGAATTTACGTAGTTGTGAATGAGATGAGGCGCTGATCATGAACGATGAGTAGATTGGGAATTGGAAGGAGGCGTTTAAGGTAAATGTCGGCATTAAATATCCAGAAGTTTGTAACTTGTAACAAAATCTCAGTGACCAGTAAACTATTACTTCAAAAGTTAATTGGTCATAATGTGATTTGTAGGCTCAAAATGAAAGACATTTCTTGAGCGCCTATAGAAGTTCAGTCTTGTGTCACGTGGTTTATTGGTTTCATGCATAGTCGATGATTATAGATTTTGAGTATCTGGCATCGTCATGGAAGCATTTCCTTTGCGTGTTGGACAACGCTAGCACTCATCAGTAGGTTTTTGTGATAAGGACTATCGATCGGGCATCACATACCGAATAGTCTTTCATTTATTTTTCAAGGCGCAAACAGACTTAGCATCCGAAATGTATGTACGGCGTATATATGTGTTATAACAGCGGTTCCCAAAGTACAAGCTAAGACCCTCTGGAGTTTTTGTCTGGGGCCCTAATGGCCTGGATATAACGTATATAAATATCTTAAAAAAACCCGCACTAAATTACAAAAATGTAGTTAACAGAAAAGTGTTTTACAAATGATTAAGTTTCGTTAATAATTATTTGTTTAAAATGATAAATTATATTTTAAGTGATTTGTATTTGTTGGGAAAGCCTCGAACATTTGGGAACCACTGTTCTGTAATATAAAATCTTTCCATCCAGTGTACCTAGTGATTCCTAGGCGAACATATGGATTACGATGTATAAAGTAATATACATTCACCGCTGTTTTATTAATAGCCAACTGCAAACGGCTTAATGCATAATGCGATGTGTTTGGTATTTGCAGTACTTATCCTGATATTGTGCCGTGCTGGTAAATAACAGTAAAAATGTGATGATACATCTTTTCGTCTTAGAATTTCAATATACTGATAATTAGATAAAAAATCAGTAACTTCATACGTCAGTTGAGAGGTTAAGTACCCTGTTATTGTTTACATTGTCTCTTAAAGTTAATTAAATTTGAAAACAAATTATATTTGTCTTTAGCCCTAATATACCCAGCACCAACGACATTTTTTTTTCTAGATAGTGGACGTCAGTTTTTGTTAGTTTGATTTGGTGAGTTGTTAAATGTTTAGAACAGAGAACAAGATTAAATAAATAGTTAAACATTTACATTCGTACGTACTGAGACTTCACAAGACATGTACAGTGGCTTACAATAATAAATAGAGGTGTGTTTTACCTGGGCCTTGAAGTGGTCGGCAGGTAGTGGGCGTGTGAGCTAGCAAGGTGTTAGCAGGGCTGCGAACTAACAGGCGTTCGCTCGATTTGTTCGTTCTTATACCCCCACCCCCCTGGATTCTTGATACGCATGCGTGTGCATGATGACTGGAAGACCGGAGGAACAAGGTTTATATTTTGTGTGGGTGTTTTCACCCCTTCGTATCCTGTACTAATAACGATTTGAAATTATTGTTACTTACAACGAATTTTTCAAATTTGTTATAGGTACGTGTGTATTCGCATTTGCTTTTGGTATTCATGTACGATTGTACGCTGGAAAATGCATGTGGATGTTTAGAACGGTAGTCTGGAATGGAATAATAAGCTTTTGCCCTGCCAGAGAGAAGAAAGTACTTCGTTTATTTTGTGCGTTTAAATATATTTATCAGTCTGTAATGTAAGGACAGAACCTGTCATAAAATTCTGTTTTACACGATACGTTGGTGAAGACAGTTCATGTTTTTTTCCGTCCTACACATTGGAAATACATTGTATTCAATAAATGAGTGACTGAATTTAAAATCATTGACTGTAAGTTGATAAACAGAACTTTACGATTGGGGGTGGGGGGGTTAGGCAGTGTGCGTTCCGAGTTACCGAACATACGTAGAACAGAAATTTGGAAATATTTTGAGGCGTTATTTTGGGTCATGTCCTTCCGTGTATAATTAAGTAATGGAAAATTGTTATTGTTTCAATTACGTAGTGTAAACATTTAAAAAAAAGTGTTGAGTACAATCACCTTTTTCTAATTTAAAGCTTGACGTCAGTGACAAGTGAATGGAATAGTTGTCCCATAGAATATAACGGCTGAGAATGACTTCAAAGAATTTTGATACTCTTTCATTGCTTTAACTGTGTGAAACTTTTTAATCTTTTATCTTGTGTCTGCTTTCGTTTTTGTACATTTCCTACGTAAACTTAGAAATCGGAGTCAGGACGTGTATTTTACCTGCCTAATGCACCAATTCTTTTGTCGCATTATTTTGTTCTGAAAAGTATGATAATTGATTATCGAATGACTGACGTCTGACTTAAGAAATTCATGTGACATATTATAAAATAATATTTTATATTTATATGGAGGGTCTGAGAAAACTCACGACATATTCTGGACATTTAGTTCATTGTAATTTTCTTTGAGTTTCTTACGTATAAAGCTAGATGATTTGGTGTTTGAGAGGTGCTTGTATTTTTTGAAATTTATTGGGCAGAATAGATTTCTTGTTCTCACAGCAGCGAGTATGAAGATGGCTACCTTCTGGGTTGTGCGCCGAGTATTATGGTAGAAGTTTACAGACGTTTCAGAGGTGCTTGCTGCCTCCATCGTCAGGGCAACATCCCAGAAGACAGCCACCTCCTGTTGGGCAGGAGATGGTAATAATAAAAACAACAATTAGAATGAGACAGACAAGACGGATAAGTGGATTATATACGCCAGTAGCGGGGAGATTTATGAATTTTCTTCCTTCTTACGTTGTTTGGGTGGCTGTGTAAACCATGATGGATGATGTTCACTGGAAAACCTCGCTGGAATAGCATTTCGTAACCTGTGGATGATTGAGTGAATGAGACAGTGAGGTTGGTAATCATATTAAAGTATGATCCATTAAACTGGGGTTCCAAGGACTGGAAATTGGATAGGCAGACATACGTTTATACACACGCTCATACACACACGTATTAAGTACAGTGTGAACACAAAGTAACTTACAACTTTTGAAGTATTTAAAATTGAGATCATTATAGATACAAGTAGCATGTATTGTTCAATATCTTTTGTCTGTAAGTTCATGTATTATATAAAAAATTGTCTAAGGTAGAAAAATGTCCAGATCCTTTGGGATAAGGACATTTTATTGTATTAAATATGCTTGTAGAACACAATATTGCTGATGGATATGTCTACCTTTGTATATGTATATAAATAAATCGTGTGTCGACTGTAGTTTCCTGGTTTTCTTCTATGTTTCAGTTCCTGAGCTAAACTTTTATGTGATATGGCAGCAATATTTGCAGATGCTGCAGTGTTTGGATTTAAAGGCCTTTCCAAAGGTACTACTACTTTGTCAGTATATGAGGAGAAATCAATGCCTCTTGCAACAGAGACGTGGGATAACTTGAGACCACAGGTATTTAATGTTTCAACCTTTGCTACTGTTCTCGTTACCTTGAAACAGTTTGTACATGGAAAAGTATTGTTTTTTTTTAAGTTATTTAAACTAAAAGCACCTTGTAAAGGACTGAGTGTAAAATTTAATTAGTTGTCGTATTCCTGGTTTGCTTGTCGTAAGTTTTCCACTGCCCATTAAATGGAATAAGCATATGATCACGCTGGGCTTGTAATACTGGAGTCCCGGGTTCGATTCCCGGCGGTGCTCAGATTTACAACTTGTGTTGGGCAAGGCCGTGGTCCAGGCATCACGGAGTTTTCCTCCGGGGCTTCCCCGGTTTCTCCATGGCATCCCAACAATTACTCCACTTTCATCATCATCTCGCAAAAAAAGGGGGTCACACCAGGAGCGGTAAATGTCGCGGTCCCGATCGAACCCATGTACTGATGGGTCGTGAATCCTGCTAACCACCAATGCACACCATGCTGAATGGTGTGTACTGGATACGAAAAAGAGCATATGATCTAGAAAATAAAAACCATCTATAGTGGATACAGAAAAGATTAAAGCTTTCATGGTGCAGTCTTATTTCAATTTTTATTTGAATCTGGAGTTTACTGTCTATTAGTTTAAGGCATGTTAATAGAACAGTAGCTTTGTGTTAGCTGTGTAGCTCTGGGCTGCATGAAATTGGGTGACCGTGCATTCTGATTAACGAAACATTGGCAAATCATCTCTCTGAACAGATTGTCATCTCCCAAGAGTGGTAACAAGATTTTAAAAAGTGATATTTTAATTTTTTTAAATTCTCACCGAATTTTATGGCTGTTTCAGGATCCGTGTCCGTGCACCCAGCAAGACTTTATCATTTTTGCAGAATTCTCTGAAGTAATGGGCCCTGTTCCTCTGTTAACGATTCCGCTAAATGCTGAAGAGGTTACAGGCATTGAGATCAATAATTTCATCATGAGAATCATGTCTGTTGACTATCAAGTCAACCCAAGGTGAACTGAGAACCATGAAAATATATAGAATAGTTTGTACAAAATAATATCTGGTTGTATTATTGTTGATGCCAGTGTCATCATTATCGTCATAATTTTAATATATGTTTAGATGGTTTTCTTGTCACTTTGGTGTATAGAATCCTCAGGATATATGTTGTGAGTAACAGGGTTTATGTCACAAAATCTCTTGTACCTTAATATCAGTCTCATCTTCACCTACTGTACTCCATTTTCACAAAATGAACTTTGGTAACTGAATAACTGCTATGCTGGCGGTAGCAAAGCTACTGGTAGGGCCTCCCTAGCCAGATTGGTCGAGGGCGAGAGGTCAGACTAAGACAGGTACTCTGGTCCTCCAGGTTGGGGGTTGGTCGCAAGGCTAACAACCTTGCACCATAAAAAGGAAGACGTTTCGAAACCTCGATCAAAGCCTCGGACAGACCGACCTAACAGAGGACCGAATGGAAGAGGAGAATTGAGGAGGCCATGGATGAATACGACCAGAGAGCCATAGAAGAAGAAGAAGAACTGAATAAATTTATTATAACCATTAAATCTTGCGTGAAAAACTGCAGTCACCAAAATTTAGTTTAATAACAGATATACATTATGTATGTTTTGGTTTTAACACTCCTTTATACTGTATAACTGTGAAAGTTTGGTGGACATTTGGTCTAAGACTCAGTCATTCTCAAGTTGTGATCAATCATAGATGCAGATATTAATCTTCATCTCAAACCTCACTGCTTATACATGATTCAGCTAATTGTGCATCGCTGTTGCATACAGCTAAACCATTAAACCTGTAGTTAAAACCTGGCCCCGCGCTGTAGCTGCGCGGTTTGAGGCATCACGCTTCGGACCGATGATACGGAATGCGCGCTGGTTTGAGTCTCGGGGAAAGAAATTGCTTACGAGATTTTCGACCGGTGCAACCCAGCATCGTGAGGGAATTGGGGAGCTACAATGGGTAGCGTAATCCAGTCAGGAAAGCTAGCAATGGCTGGGGGTTCGTCGTGCTGACTACATGTCGCTCTATATCTGGTTGGATGATCGTTCACCTCTGCTTAGGTATGTGAACGTGAGGCCAGCAGCCAGCTAGTCGGCTTTGGCTCTCAGAGGGCTGTTACGCCACAGATTATTATTATGGGCAGAAAAGCTGGCCAGTGGCTCCTAAGTTCAAGGGATTAAATCACCTATTTCCATGTTATAACGGTTAATTATCATATTTCAGAACTGTGAACTACTCATTAATATGTTGTTGTTGTTTTTGTTCTTTTACCACAGCAAATCTGTGTTCTGTGAAGATGCACAGGTGCTGCAGATGTGCGTGATGCCTGGTCTGCATGCTTATGTGCATTACTTGACTCTTCATGACCCTGTGGCTAGAGGATTTGTGCGGCCTCTCTGTCTCGCGTATGTCACCGCTGACCAATATAAGCTATCACAGATATTTCAAAAGCTCAGGAAAGAATTCCTACATGCAAGTATTGCTAATATCATGTTTATCCAAGTACAAGTTGTCCAGTCATTTAATATGTCTTCTATTTTGTAATTGAAATTAAATTTTTTTATACCATGTCTTATAGTTAGATAAATACAGTCTGTAATATATATAATTCTTAACCCTAGAAGTGGTAATTAAATCTTTTGTATGTAAGCCTATTTCAGCAGTAAAACTTTTTATTGGCTGAGTAATCATGTCTGGAAGACAAGTTGAACACTGTAAATGACAAATGGTAGTTCTTTGAAAGCTCAGACTGTTTCAAAAGTTGAGACTTCATCACTTAAATGCTTTGGGTTTTATTTTCTGAGAAGGAAGTCACTCTTAAGTATACTTTATAATATTTGTACTTCTGCTTCTGGGGTTAAATGCTGTGTTGTATGGTGTAACTACTGTTTCTGCAGTGCAGGAGGGCACATGTTAAGTAATCTTATGGCATAGAATTACTTAACATGTAAGTGTGATCAAAGTATAATCATATAAAGTTACCATTTTGATATTTCTCTGTGTTCTGTTTCATGCCGATTAAAATTTATTTTGGTCTTTGCAGGTGACTCAGATAGTAAAACATGATAACAGACTGTGGTTCAGGGAGGAAATTTTATCAACTCTGCATTGTATAAAGGAAAGGCAAAATGAATATTTATACTGGAAGAAGGTAAATAATACTGTTGGAAAAATCATCTTCCTGAAGGTGGATGGTTTAGATTGTGTTGTATTCATATTGCCAAACTTTTCTACAGTTTGTAACATGAATTCATGGAATATAGTATTTTAATAATTATTTGCTGGTTAGTGCTTGGATAATATCACACAATGTACCACAACCATTAAATTTAATGTTTATGAGCATCTCAACATGTATCACTTGATGTTATATGCTCATGATACTAGGATACTAGGAACGACCTGTTCTTCAAGTGCCTGAGCACTGCGGGTCCCAACTTTTCGTTGGCTTGTTCTATAGACATTCGGTAGGACTCCTTGGACGAGGGATCGGCCCGTCACGAGGCCTCTACCTGTACACAGGACAGCACAACACAGAAAAACGCGGACAAACATCCATGGCTTGAGTGGGATTCGAACCCACGGTCCCAGCGACCGAGCGGCACAAGGCTCACGCCTCAGACTGTGCGGCCACTGCAGATTCCATGCTCATGATACAGAGACAATATGTAAACAGTATGACTGAACACTTTGCCAGTATAGGCTGCAGCCATGCAATTAATATATCTATAAACAGTACATTGAAATTTTCTAAATTTACAAAAGATTCAGGATATCATTTTCTTAATTCATTGCTGCATCATAATAAATATAGGCTGATGTTTCAAAATGTTTTGTGAGAAACCTTTTGAACCTTGCCATGGTCTGAGAGTCTTCATTTAGCTTATTTCAATAATTATTAATTAAAATTGCATTTAAAGCTATTCAAATACACACTGTGTTATGAGTAAATAGTCAGCTGGACATACAGACACAGTCTCCCAGTAATTCTGTTCTGTGATTTTGCAAACATCAGAATTGTTTATAATTTTTGCTCTATAACTTGTTAATATGTGAACTCCTTAGCACATATCTGGCTTTCTCAGCTTATCCAATGACATTTCTAAGTACAGAATTATATCATTTAATAATTTATATTTTTTATTATCTGTTGTAGAAGGAAGAGGATGGATATGTTTTATCTTGTGAACAACAACAAATCTTGGAGCGGACTAACATGGATCAATTGGTCCAGCAGTCTACAGACTATGCACATATGTTACATGCAATAGGACCATTACTGAAAGTAAGTACAGCCAACAGATTTATCAAACTCATGTCTGTTGAAAACTGTTCTAAGTCCATGGAGCAGAGTTCATCTTGAGAAGCTAATAGTACACTCAGCTAGTCAAGTGTTTCCGTTCCTTGTGTGGAGCCAGAAGATTTGTTACCATGTTAACAAGAGCTGTCCACCAGTTCATATCCTGAGAGAGATGAATCCAATCCACATCATCCCCATTTATCTAAGATCCATTTTAACATTATCCTCAAATCTTGTGCCCACCTGAAATAGCGTCAGAATGGTAGAGAGTTTATTTTTGTAACATGCTTGTAGTTTTGAAAACAAATCTCAGTTAGGATAGCCAGTCTAAGGTGGGATTGAAATTGGAAATCTTCCATAAGCAAGTCAGATACTGTAACACCGTGACATCATCTATTTCTGAATATTATAACTTGCCATTATGTCTTTTATGCTGATACACGACTTATATATTTTTCTCACCAAATGTCACGTCCTTATGACCAATAAAGCTTGAATGCTGTAAGTACATGCTTTATACTTGCATAATGAAAAGGCCTGTTAAGTTAGAAATATAAATGTAATGAAGGAAATGGGAGTGCTTCTTTTTTTATTTACAAACTATAGAAACATGACGAAAGGTAACACCAGTTATTTCATCCATGGTATGAATTTTGTTAGTTATAAATTTATAGTGTGAAGGAATAATGAAGTTATTCATTTGTTTAAAAATGTAATATTCATGCTTGTCTCTGTACAGGCAGATGCTGGAGTGACTGATGCGATATTAGGACGATGGAAGTGTGGATTTGCGCAGGCCAACAAAGTGGACATTATCCTTTCTGCTCTTTCTACTGGTTCTTATCAGGGAGGTAGTGAAAATTGCTTGAAAGGAGTCTTGGCACTTAGTCCATGGGGTCTTTCAGCTGCCTTATGGAATTTAATTATTTTGCTACGCCACCATTGTGAATGCCGCTTGAAGCAAAATTGTAAAACATTTTCCGCTGAGGATAACCAGGTATGCATGGTCCACATTATCCAGTAAATTCAATTATGTGAAATGAGGGATTCCAATTATTCCAAATCTGACCATTCTAGTAATCATTATATCAATAATTCTTTTATAGCTGCTGCTGAATTCCACATTCCACATTTGATTTTTCTAGCCCTCTGGAGTCTAGAACTTTATTCATAATGCCTGCACAGTATTTTTCTATGATGTTCACATTTTCTTCTCTCTTCAGATGTCTAATTTAAAATTCTCTGTGTTCATCAGTTATCCTACATTTGATCAATGACTGTACCTTCCTAAGCATTTCTTTCTTTTATCTTCAGTTGCTTCTACAGTTCCCATTTCCAGCTTTATAACTGACATTTTAACCTTATACAAAATTAATATACCTTAAATCTCATTTAGTGTACCTGCCTTTGTAGTTAATCGTGTCAATAATACTCTAAGTTTCTGTTTTGATATTATTGATCAAGTGTTTTAAAGAAACTGTACTGAGCCTCAGGTCCCAGAAGTGCTGGTATGGGGGGAGTCAATCCATGGGATTTTATCTTATGATCTTGGGAGAATACATTAATATATGATTTAGGATAACAAGCCAGTATTAATGGTGGCCTTGTGAGTTATGACATGGTGTGAACATGTGGTTTGACACCAATATTTTGGAAGAACATTGTCATACATTCTATAATAGTTAATTAACAATCAGTACCTATACACTGACATCCACTGTATTACAGGTTGTCATCAAGGACAGTGTGGAAGAAGCCCTCTGTGATTCAGAGTACCTTCAGTTAATAAATAACCTGACTCAACCTCTAGACCTGTCAACTGGTAAAACATTATCTCAGCCTGGGGGCTCCAGCAGTAATTATGATATCCAGGATAGTGTGGATGTTCTTGAAGCCAACTTTGTGAGTACATTTATGTTCTTATGACTAATACCTCTAGTTACAATTTTCTCACTCTCACTGATCTTAGTCCGGATATACCCAGTAAGCTGAGGTATGGGATAGAAGGGAGGGAGGGGAAGACTGCCAGGTGATATACTGCATCTTGCTACTCCCCTGCCCTTTCCATCCTCCCTTCCTCTCTTACTATGACGTAAGTCAAGGTTGGATATATTTTACATCCAGTTTTGTGATGATAGAGTCCATACGTGAGGTGGTTACAGAAAAATGTACGCTGTATCTGGCTGGTCTTGACCACAACATGCTTTGCACAGAATTTTAGCATATTAATTTTCTCCCACCAGGTGTTATTACTGATTTATTTAAAAATAATTTTACATTGAATTTATTGTGGTAGTGATGACTTCTGCTTCAAACTGGAACTTACAGTTGTGATAATTTGTAATCTATAGTATAGCAGTAAACAAACTATGTAAGTTAAACTTTAATCTAAAAAATATTCTATACTTGTTGTAGAGAGTAAAGGGATATTATATTAAAGCTCCTGAAAGTTTATTAACAAGAATGTGTTTTAAGCCCGTGTTATAGGATAGGTAGTCGATAAATTTACGAACCATGTGCCTTGTAAACTTACCTTTTTGGCTACTTCTGATTTTTAACAGTGGTTTTCTGTAATGTGATGTGATGTGTTGCTTTCAGCACTGTCTCCATACAGTCACTCCATATGAGGTAGATAAATATAAATAAATAAATATAAAAATAACAGAATAAGGTGAGAAGAATCCTAGAGTTGTATAAGTAACACCTGCTAAGTTTTTATATGCTCTGTCTGTAGATGTCAGGTGGTAACGAGGTGGCTAGCAGTTATCACTCGGTACCTGAGTCACTTAGTGACATGCTGGCTGGAGTGCGAATAGCGGGAACTGATGGTGAGGGTGAGGTGAACAGGGCAGAGGAAGTATTTCCTGGTCTTAATCTGTGTGATCCAGACAGCATCAATGATTATTCAAGCAATGATAGCTTCTTGGACATCTCAGAGACAAGCAGTTTGAGCAGTGAGAACTGGATTTCAGCCAGTCCAGAGCAGATGGAGAACAAAAAGGCACACTGCTTATGGAGTTGTCAAAAATCAGGTTAGTTGTACATTTGCTCTGCCAATTTCACATCAGTTGAACGTTTCCCCTGCATTTACATTAACCTAATAATGTTACTTCTTGCTTTGTAGGGTTCAGACATATTCTCTTGCTTTTAGAAGAAACATAAATTCAAACTAGTTGAAAGTAAACTACCAAGCATAGTATTTATTAATATTACATTAAAAAACCTAAAAAGAGTTCACTTTAAAGTCTGAGATGAGAATGAAGAATAATAGTGAAACTGGTAGTCAGTATGTTGATCATGGTCTTATGGGTTGGGACACCATGTGGTCTTGTTGATGGTTAACATGTGGGTAACCACCTATGAGACCAAACAGTGCCACAACCTAGAAGGCCACATGTCACGAGGATCTCAGATCGCATGATCATAAACATGTTTTGGTTCTTATAATGAATTACTTTATTTCATCAACACAAAATAACATATTTCTTTCATTGTCTTCAAAGTATTTTTTATTCATCAGTAATTTGATAGCTGTAACACTTTCAGTGAAGATATGTGAAAATGTAAGTACCTCTTCAATAAATTACAGAGCCACTATGTGGAGAAAGTTTGAGTGGACATGTTTTGAAGGCTGATTTATTCTGTTAGGTTCTGGGATATTGAAGTTCTTCCAAACATATGAAAAAGTTGCTCATCATCTCCTCTACTCACTGCTGATTGGTCGAACAGTTGTGCTAGTGGGAAATAACAGCTCTGAACACAAAGCGTTACAGATTATGAATATCTTGTCACCGTATGTACCACTTATGCCAGGACAGGAAGTCAAAATTCTAAGGTATGTAGCAAAATATCTTCTTCTATGGTGCAACAGCCCAAAGTCAAGCCTTGGTCTCCTCCCATGTGGGAGGTTTCTATGTCTTTTGAAGTGTACATTTGTGAGTAATGCAAGTTTTTGATATTAAAGTATACCACATACAATGTCCGGATGCAATAACATAAAATTATTGATAATTGTTTTCTGTTTTTTTGATTAAGGTGGCACTGTGGTATTCTGGTACCATCCCATATTTCTTCCTATCATATGATTGGTGTCTGTATTCCAGAGAGGCTCTCAGTACATGACATGATCAGTTCCAAAGATAAGGTATTACAAACTTTTAAATTCATTTTCTTCTAAGCCATTTTTATTATTACATTATAGGTATATTTTGTATTTAGAAAATTACTGCATCAAATTGTAAAGTTAGCCATCTTGATACGTGTTATAACCATTTTACTGCAGAGACAAGATATACGGTTGGTTTATGTAACTTGTTTATGATTGTGCACAGTCTTGTGGTATAAACATGGTAGGAGTGGATTATTGCTGTCATTAGCCCTTTCCATGCGTTTGAAGGTCTTGAAGAAAATATGTAGAATGCTACTGCCTACAATTGAGGTGATAGCATAGCAAATAAGATACTCCCATATGCTCATGCTAAAAAGTTTCCACCTTTTGACACCCCTTATTGTAAAAGAACTAAAGTATGACAATTATTATTACTTCCAGAACTCTGTCACTATTTTGGATGTCTTCAGCAAGCAGCTGTTTGGACCAGCATATTCAGGTCATATGCTAGGATCACTGCAGTGCACACCACAACATATGCCAAGCGATCAGAGTCTCCTACTGTTTCTGCAGACAATTGCGGCATCACTAAACGAAAAGCTGTTCATGTACCAAACATTAATGAAAATGAAACCATTATCTAGAAAGACTCGTTCACGACATTCTCATGATATCTTGAGAGACATTGGGCTAGATGGCTGTGATGCTGAAATTGTGAGACATCTCAGCAAAGTGGGGTCTATCGATTGGAGGCCATTACAATAGGATATAGGTTGGGTTTTTTTTTGTTTTGTTTTGTTTCATATACATGTTTATCCCTGTTTGAACATGTTTTTTATATAATTTTTATGCTCAGTAACATTCCATATTTACGCACTACTCTCTGCGTATAGTCAATATGTTCCATGCTCTGAGCCTTACTTGGGGAGGCTTGTGCATGTGTGCAAGTGAACAGTAGTGAGCGCAGATTAATCCCATTTATTTATGTCTAATTTTAAGAAACTTTTTGATGAGTACCAGTATTATAGTAAATAAATAATGATCTTAATATAAAATTATTATCTTATGTGTTAAGTGCCTTTTATATGTTACAAAAAATCAATGTCACCAAGTTAAGTACTGAAAAACATCTGCTTAGGAATCCAGAACACCTATTTTAATTATAAGTATACAATAAAACATATTTTAATGTTACATTGTGTTTTCCAGGAATGCAACGAGGTACTCCATAAATTGGGTTATATCTGTTTGTTTTTATAATAATAACCTTTACACTCATAAGAATCCATAATGTGAGATATACATACATTTTTGACGTAAATACGTCTATATTTTATGGTCACTGTCATTCGGCAAAAGTGTTACGAAAAAGTGTTATGAAATAGTGTTACGAAAAAGGGAAATGAAAAAGTGTAACTTCATTGTTATGTTACCTAGGAAACGTCAAACTTCATTGTTATGTTACCTGGGAAACGAAAAAGTGTAACTTCATTGTTATGTTACCTAGGAAACGTCAAACTTCATTGTTATGTTACCTGGGAAACGAAAAAGTGTAACTTCATTGTTATGTTACCTTGGAAACGTCATCTGTTTATCAACAAATAAACAACAATGGTTACCTACATAGTTACCTTACATTACCTTATTCCTTTCCGTATAGACGTATTTACGTCAAATTCTCCGGAACTGTGGTTCCACTGACAACTTTTATTACATTCCATGGATCCATAAGTTAGATTAAAATAGGATTGAATAAGTCATAATAATTCAAAAAAAAAATTTCAAGTACAATTTATACGTTATGAACAAAGGATTCACATAATTAGTGATATGTTATAAATGCATCCACCTGTTATATACAGTAGATAAATTATACCACCATTTATATTACATGAAGACAAGAAAATATTAATGAACATTATGACTTGTTTGAATTCATAAACAGATTAAAAGGAATATGTAATTAAATATATTTTTGACGTAAATACGTCTATATGGAAGGGTCATTCATTAGAAGACTCATGACACTTGATGGTAAATTGTTGATAATGATCATGCCTGCATAATATGCACTCTCCTGAAAACATGAGAGGTTGGAAATTGGTATGTGAAGCTGATTTCTGTTCCTTGTGCTGACCCTGTGTACAGCAGAATTAGTTTGAAAATGTTCTTGGTAATTTATAACTTCCATTTAATTAAAAATCAGGATTGATCTGAGTAATTATCATGGTACTATAAATTTTCAAACTGTTTATCAGTTTATTTTTATGATTAAGAAATATACATAGGCATGTTGCTGACCTGAGTTAAGGATCTGAAATGTTACCATTATTAACCTTTAACCTTAAGGTACAACAAATATTGATACCAGAGTCATAAAGATATTTGACCCAAAAATTAGTATAGCTTTCAAATCTAGTTATATGAATTTGTTATAGATGTTTATCACAATTGAAGATGAAGGCTGAAGAAGCACTGATGTTTTCTTAATATGGCATGCCTGTCACATTGTCTAAGCTAACAGCAATAAAATATATCAGAAGCTCGTAGTAGATTGTCTTATTTTATACTGTCATTAAATTATAGTATAAACCAAGATTGAGGTTGGAATAAATCACACAGTATGTTAAGATTGTTCTCAAATTAATGCTCACATGCATAATACATGTCTGCCAGGTTTGGAGCATTTGTTTCTGATACTGAATTTGATTGATTGAGTGTTTTCCAGTGGGAGAAGAGCATGTATGTGTT